CCCCCCAACCTGCACAAGCCGCTGTTAACTCGTCGACTATGCATCTCGTGCAACTCCAAGACATCGCTCTAATTAGTCACTTCTATATTATTCACGGCAAGTGGAGTAGATTTGTGGAAGCGAAGAGCAGCCGATTGTAATACGCTAGCTTGTGGCTTTTCGACCCGAGTAGGAAAGAGTAACGAGCGAGGTGCAGACAGGCGGGGGACAGGCTAGACTGTGGGTGACCTGCCAGTATCACTGCTCCTGTGTGTCTGACATCCGCGGGACAGAATTGCCCACCAGGCACCGTTTGAGCCTGTCTTGTTGGCTGGACGCGCAGGCGGAGGAGTTCGAGCCTGAGCATATTTTCTGCAATGAATTATAGGCCATGTGGGTGAGTGTATGCATAGCGGATTTCGGACTACATCTGATTCTTTGACACCAGCCTGATCCCTGGCAACCGGCCACCCACAGCACGCACGTCCGCATCGTATGTCTGCTAGCTCCTCTTCCGCCCCTCGTGCAACTGACGCCCGATCTGCAAGGCCGATCATTGTCACGGCTTCGTTCGAAGGCCAGCCCGCCGAGAACGCTGTACACTTCGTCGAATTGTTCTCCAACCTGCAAGGCGAGCGACTCTCAGTGGCATCCTACGCCGTCCTTGGCCGCGGCCGCCGCGATTGGGTCCTGAAGTATCAGCGTATGCCAACATTGTGCGACGATCTTCTTGCCGAGCGCGGCGGCGATGCTGTCTCCGCGCATTCCGAATCGTTTGAGAAATGGGAGACGGTGCTACGAGGTGCGCTTCGCAACATCCGCGTCTTCTTGCTACGTTTGTGATGGTTTACCGTTGGTCGCTCTACTTGTAGCTGTACCGAACCCGAAACAGGGTCTGGGGACCGTGACGATGCTCGAGTGTACAGTTATTGTGTCACGCTAGGTGCATCGGGAGGCGTCGTGCAGGCATGTGACGGGTTTCCCTTTCTGACAGAGTATGATACTGACGTTGAGTATTTTAGAGCTTGGCCCTGTGGAGGGCATGGCGCATAAGATGGCGATCATCTCGCTATGAGAGATCTAGACCTTCGGTCTACTCTGCGACTTTGCCAACAGATACGTTCTCGCTAGCTTACCTGCCAATAATACAAGAGTTATCCACTGCATTCTCGCTTGCTTTGGTCTTCTAACTGACCAAGAGCTGCGCATACGATAGCGCACCTTTGAGGCGAAAACTGGCGCATCAGAAAACTACTATTCGTTCCGTCGATCGACTACCGTCCTTACCGGCCACCCGGTGAATGTCTCGACGCCGCTCAGCGGTCATATGGAACTTTTTCTGCCGACGACAAACCAGAATTCGCGTATCCTCGACGTATCATTATTCTATGAAGCTCTCGAGGCAGGATACGAGCCTGCAGTGTGCCGTCACCGTGCTCAGCAAGGCGCTGTTAAAATAACTATGTCATGATTAGGAGAATTTGGGGTATCATGGAGAGTTGGAGGTCGACGCGAGGTGAGGACGATGCCGTGTGACGGAGATCGCCTCGGTAAGATATCCCGATGAGGAACGTGGGCGACTGCTCATCATTTTGTCTCTAGTCGCTCAGCTCGCACCCGGTGCCTTTCATATGACATATTGTACTACCAGGCTCGAGACCCGACTCGGACCCTGTCAAGGTACGTTGGCGTCGTCTCCTGTTCTCGTTTGTTATCCTACATCGAACCGAAGCGCGGTCGTACAGAGTGGCGGAAACACGAGCTCATTCGTCAGTCATGAAGTGCAAGGCTGGTGGGGCTCGGTAATTGCAGCCACTGGAATTTGTCATGTGGCCGAGAAGGTGGACGACGCTGAACAAACATAAGGTACTTATCCTACAGTTTAGCGCGCATACATGCGCCTGACGGCAGATTGCCAGTAGTGGTCAATGCTGCAGAACTAGCCGGAAAGGCGGCATCTACGTTTGTTTTAGGGCTGGAGACCCAATACGCATGAACACGCGCGTAAGGCTATAAGCATGCAAGAGATTTACACATGTTTCTTGGCTGGGGCTGGTGCGCAATCTACTGCGATGTTTTGGAAGAGGATATCTAGTCTTCAAGCGATGGCTGTGGTTACTTGGAAAGCAGGGCGGTGCGGGGCCAGCGCTCTGAGAGACCTGTCAGAGAGGAACGTCGCTCAAAGCTGCCATATCGTTCTCGATGCGAACTCCAGAGAAGGCGCACGCTTCACGCACGTTTCCTG